AAATATAAAATAAATCAGTTATTAGAAACGAGTTCTTAAAACTATTATGTTTAGAAATGTGTTGAAAAAATCTTGTCTCCATTAAACAGAAATTGGGTAAAAAAAAAAATAAGCAAGGGGCTAATTATTTAGTGGGATAACTCTGTTTTTAACTGTATATGTGCAAAATAAAAATATTCCTTTTTTAATGTTTTCAGTGTCCAGGATTTACAGGTGCGTTAGTGAAATATTGTCTGAAATTAACAGCATTTTAAACACTGTGGATTATTAGGATTTTTTTCCTTTTATTGCTTAGAATTTATCATTGTTGCCCTTTTAAATCTAAAAAGTTTTTTTTTTTTAATAGTATTGTTTGCTATTGCTCAGTACAGTTACATGCTGAAGACTATTTTGGGTTTATTTAGCTCCACAAAAAGAGTTTTATAACTGTCAAAAACATGTCTGTGTTGTTTACTGTAAGTGCAGATCTTTCTGAGAGATCTTAAGTGTACTGTGTAAATCTGTACTTCAAAAGATTTTCCTGATAAGGTTTTCTTTTATTGTTTTTCATATCTTACATCTGCAAAGTTCACATAGTGTGCCAAGACATCATTTGCGAAAAAATGTGTCAAAATATCTGCAACTATATTTACAGAAAAAATTAAATTTCTTAAATATATGCTTATTATACATTACATCATATAAATACATTTAAATGATTTTTATTCATTCATTTATTTTCCTTCAACTTAATCAGCATGTGTTTTAAACAGCGGATGCCCTTCCAACTGCAAATATATTCATTCAATCATTTTCTTTTCAGCTTAGTCCCTTTATTAATCCAGGGTCGCCACAGCGGAATCAACCACCAACTTATTTAGCATGTTTTTATGCAGTGGATGCCCTTCCAGCTGCAACCCATCCCTGGGCAACATTCACACACACTCATTCACACTCATACACTATGGACAATTTAGCCTACCTAATTCACCTGTACTGCATGTCTTTGGACTGTGGGGGAAACACACCCGGAGGAAACCCACACGAACACAGGAAGAACATGCAAACTCGACAAAGAAACACCAACTGTCCCAGCCGAGGCTCAAAACCGATGACCTTCTTGCTGTGAGGCGTCGCCCACCGCAAATATATATATATTTATAAATATATTTATAAATATTTTTATATATTTATTTGAGATTTTTATGTATTAAATAATATAATTCATTATTTTTTTTATCAGGCTCCTTTGTGTATGCTCAGTAATTTCACTTTTATGGCAAAGAATAAGTAATTTTCCTGGTCTTTAAAGTAAAATATCTCAACTGAGTCTGAGAAAAATTTTAAATTTCAATAGAAATTTCAGACGTCACTTAGAGGTTTTTGTATCAGAACTCTTTATATATTCTTATATATTATATATATAGTATATGACATTTAAAGAATAAATTTTTTTTTTTTTTTATAATGCCAAATATATGATTTTTGTATTTGTAAAAACCAGACTTTAATGCAGTAAAAAAAAAGTACTTGAAGTTTTTTTTTACAAATGTGTCTATAATGTGAGATCTTTACCTTTGTATGTAAAGACTATTATGTTCGAAATGTACAGAACATATAATGCAATTTATAATTATAAAATAAATTTTAAATAAAAGCATTAAACTATACAACTGCATGACCTTCAATATTTTTTCTTCATCTACTGTGTGATGATGTTGGCTTTTTGCCCTGCATGTTTTTTTTGCAAGTCTGGCAACAACTCTGCAGCACATTTATCAATGCAGGAACTATCAATCTACTGTAGATAACATTCATATCAGCCTCTGAACGCTACACCTGATTTCCCTCAAATAACTGCCTTGCCCACCAGCAGAATGGAAAGAATCCACACAGAAAGTCTTATACTCTTTTATTATGAGGCTCAATTATTAGCAACACCATCACAAAATACTTTTGCTACCTATTTAAAATGAGTTTTAAAAACACAATTCTAACATTATTTTTGTGGACAACTTAATTATTTTATGTTTATTCAACTTCAATTTGTAAAAATAGTTGATAACACTTTTGATGCTCCCTCTTGCACATTTTGTTGACTACAAGTTGCATTGCAACTACAGTACATACCAATTACTTTTCATTTGAGTATTAGTTGACTGTCTGCATAATATCTGCTAATACTGCTCCTTCAACAAACAGTTAACTGATTATAAGAAACTTTGCAAGTACATGTCAACTTACACTCACTCTAACCCCAACCTAACAGTCTACTTATTGAGAATTAATTAGCATGTAGATGCAATGTAACGTAAATTTGACATTAAAGGACCATCAAAATAAAAGTCATACCAAATAATTGCGTTATCTTAATTGACTTGTGTTGGGACTGAATTTTTTACAGTGCAATCTCTCTGAAAGCATCTGATACAGAACTCCCTGGTTGTTGTCACAGATCTCATTCGCCTCCTCATTATCGGTTCTTCCTGTTCACCTCCGCTCGCGTGCAAAAGCAGAGAACAGCTTCTGTCAGTCATCTCTCATATCATGATGGTGCCCTCATGCTTCATTCATGGGAACAAACGTTTTTTTTATAACCACAGGCCTAGTGACACACATTAATCTACTGCGCAACATTGTGCGCGTATGCATGACGGCCGTCTGTCAAGAGTGTTTAATATCTATTCACACATTTTTAATTTGCTCACCAAGTGACAACAGCCTCATCAAACAGAGCCTTTTGCTTACAGCTTGATGCTTTTGTTATGGAGTCACACGGCACAGATAGAGAAATCTGTTTCATGGGAGTCAATGTGACGGAGCAAATTATTGAGACAATTTTTAACTAAAGACATTTATTTAAAACAAACTGCAGGAGCCCTTATTGTTTAAAAATTCAATTAAGAGGAATCAATATGGAAAGTTTTTACAATGTCATCATACGCATTTGTTATAAAGATTATTTTCTTTCTTGAGATGGGAAGCTAACATTTCATCCTAAAAACAAGCTGTTTACTTTCAACTTGCCAAAGCAAACAACACCACTGATGTAATCTTGCCTTCAATCTGATAATGACACCTGCCTTGCAAAAACACGACAAGCCTTTTCAGCAAATCTCTCCTTCCAGAATGCTTCCTTCCACAGAATAGATGTTGAAAGGCACTTCCAAACTCAGTTACACCCATGCAACCATTAAACCCAATAACTTTTTGTAATGACTGCTAGCCTGGACAACATGTAAACAGTTTTTAAAATAAATGCATCTACTAAACAGTTTAATCTTATCATTTTCATTTAACAAAAAAACAGAATGGCAACAGGTTAATGTGGAAAAATGACCACATAATTATCGTCAAATTTAGTGTGTTTTTCTGAGGTAGACTCTTTTATTAATATGGGTTCATAAATGATGCCATATAGAACCATTTTGGTTACTTGAAGAAGATTTTGTGTGTGAGGAGATTAAAGAACATTTTAATAACTTAAACCTTTTTGAACATTTTGTGGAATATAAAGCTTGAGTTGATGCTAAGGTTTCTTCATGGAACTAACAAATGCCAATAAAGTTCCTTTACATTTTAAGATTGTGAATTATGTAAAGAAGAGGCTTTTTCTGACAACATAAGGTAAATCAATCCATAGTAGATATTTTAGATATGAATAAAGATCATTTAAGCATTAAAGTTATTTTGTTGGCCTCATGATACTGTAAGAAACTAATGTGTATTTGAGTTTGGAAGTGAAAGTTTCTGCAATTTTTGCAATGAATTTTGCAATTCTTAAGTTCATAAGACTCTTCTTTAGACCTTTCATTGAAAGTTGAAATATTCAGTTAGCTAATAGGAAAATAATATACAGTATGACTTGATTCTCTGTTACACTTTTGATGAGTTGATCAATTAATTAAAATATAAATAAATGAAACTAAAGGTTGACAGTGCAAACAAGCCAAGTTCTACTTTGTGAGATGTAATAAATGTATGGTATTACATTCATAGCTTTATTATATTATGCAGATTTCTTTAAACTTTTTCATTCAATCTTTTAAACATTTTGTAGATTTCTGCATCTACTGAGTTACACATTTAATCAAGAATCCATACTAATTTATTTCCATTTTTTAAAATAATTTGGTTCTACTGGTTTTACTGGAGTCTAAACTGGCATTAACATTCATCAAACCACAGAATGTATTCACACTAATAAAAGGTTTTGTTACCATACAAGAAACTTGGTTCTTCAAAATAGCTTTTAGTAAGACGTTCTTCAAATATCATATAGTGCTTTTCATTATTTCATTGTGTGTGAAGAACATGTTATAATCTAAGGAGCCTTTTTAGACTAAAAAGAACCATTTGTGGAATTAAAATGTTCCATAGATGTAAAGGTTGTTTTAAAACTGTTTGTTCAGATATTTGAAGCAATTGAAGGACAGGAACCCAACATTTTTACAGTGCATGTATTGTTCAGGAAAGGTATTGCCTGAGAAATAAATTGTAGGCAATACTTTTCAGAACAATATTCTGTAATTTCATGATCTGTAAATAATGTAAATAATATGTGTGTAAATTCATTTTATCTCTTAGTAATATATATATATATATATATATATATATATATATATATATATATATTACCTGCCATCTGTGGTTTTCAAGTAAAATGAACATTTCTCTCAGTTATTTTACCTTAAAAACCATGAAAATTACATATTCTTTGTCATAAAGTGTTAATATTTACTAAACCCATTGAGCCTGATTAAAATGCTCATTTTAGAAGAAATTTTCAGACGCATTTAGAGGTTTTTTGCATCTGAACTCTTCATAAATATTCTTTAGCTTTGTGTTTTGTATTTTTTATTTTTTTTGTCTTACACTTTTTCTGCTCTGAAAGCACCTGTCACCTAGACAAATTCTTTGTGTGTGTGTTTTTTTGATTCGGACAAATAAATGAAATCTGTAGTAAAGTATTTTCAGAAAGAGCCATCCACACTTGTTGAATTAGTTTAGAAATGACTCACCGACACACTCGTTCGCCTCTCTGGCAGTCGCGCGCTGCCAGGGCCGGTCGTAGTGGAAGGGTTTACACCTGTCACACTCTGGTCCCGCAGTGTTGTGCTTGCATTCGCACACTAGGTTTCCTTCCCGGTCCTTCACGCACTTCGACGCGTGCCCGTTACACTTACACCGTCCACCGACCTGCAGGTCAGACACCGCGTAAAAATACGAGTCCCTGGCGAGCTCCGAATCGTCCTCGTTCTCATCCCCGAACGTGTGCAGCCGGTTGAAGGTCACTTTGATGTCGGTGGCCGTGACCCAGTCCTGCAGGACGGGCGAGTTGTCGAAGTCGTGCGCGGACGGTCTGCCATCCAGCGTGCTGAACGCGATGAGGCCGCCGGTTAACGGCTGCATGTCCGTGTGAGAGTCCGTGCAGATCGCCTCCTGCTCGTTCTGCTTGGTGATGGCAGCTTTGCTGGGCTTGTTGTACATTTTCTTGCACTGGGTTGAGTAGAACTGAAAAGGCACCCAGGTTTTCCCATAGTCCATGGATTTGAAGATGGCCATGGATTCGGGGCGAGGAGAGCAGAACTGGAGGCTCACATAAGTCACTTCAAACTTCTTCCCCAAAGACAGAGTCAGAGTCACGTTCTGCGGGTATTGCACGTAGTTCTCCGACTGCCAGCAGGTGAGGTTATGAGGGTTGTTGAGGTCTGTCAGGTATGCGGGCGGATGGGTCTTTTTGGGGTCTGTGGCGTCGCAGATGTTGCAGTCCCTCGATCTCTCCTCGCCTTTCTCGGTCACCACGCAGTAGCGCGACGGAGGAGAGCCGCAGGTGCTGGACACGCGCACGTCCTTCCCGAAAGCGGAGTTCACGAAGTCGGGGATGCAGCGTCTGGGGTTCCCGTTCTCGTCGTAGCACGGGTCCGGAGGAGAGGACTGAGCCGCGAACATGCTCATCCCGTATCCACCGCGAGCACCGGACACCATCGAGGTGATGGACACCATGGAGACGCACGTTACCAAAATCCTTATCATTGCAACCCGTGGTCCTCAGGGGTCCCTGAACCTGCACTAGTCAACAAAGAAAAAAAAGATCATTCAAAGTAATTTTGCATGCCTGCATTGTTTAAAAATGTGTGCGCAAAGAGTTTTACTTTTACTCAAAACAAGACACAATCACTATACCTCAAAGAGACTGCTTCACCCGGGTGGAGAAGTATGTCAAACCCGTCTAAAAGAGAAATTATAGGGTACTCTCCCTTTCTTTTCTCTCTCCCGGATATGTTGTAATCTCTTTCCCCACTTTCAAGCAATATGAAACAGAAAACCTGCTATTACTTTCCAAGTCTGCCTTTCTTCCTCTGCCTAACTCTTTCACACCTCTGCCTCTCTGTGAGTGAGTGTCGCAGCTCAGCCCTTCTCTCTTTCTGCTCTCTTCAATAGGAAGGGGGTTCAGTCATTTGCCATTCTGCACGAGTAAAGCACTTTATTGCCCTGTGTGCAGGCACAATGACATTCTTATGTAGTTGCATTTTGAGTTAGTCTTAATTATAGGGGAACTTTTGACTGTCTGTGAGAATGAAACTTCTTTAAATCGTGTATTTGGCAGTGTGTTTGGAAAGAGTTTTGGTTCAAATAAATAGGTACAAGCTGAACGCAGAGATAGCTCGTTATTTTGAAACAAACGGCATAACTTTAGTTTTTATGATAGGATCCAATGTATATTTTCCATTGAGTGACACCACTGCAGGCTATATAAAGCATCTTCATTAGAAATAAGAGGTTGGTGTTGAGGACAAGCACGAATGAAACTAACTTTTTATTATTTAAAAACTCTGGGAAAGTGAATAAATAAAGAGTCTCGATTCATCACTAATTCATTGTTTGGGGCAAATCGTTTATTTAAAATACCGCAAAGAAAGTCCCCTGAATAAATCAATTTAAACAGCAGACAATGGGTGAATACATTGAATTTCATCCTACGTAAATCCATATAAATTAATAAACTTATAGACGGACGGACAGACAGACAAACTTTTGCAATATTGTGTATTGCATATTCATTTTCAAACACTAATCATCTTACTGGATGCTCCGTTTAATCCATGGAAACGGAAATAAGTAGCATATGCAGATCATAAATGTGAATTAAATTCCAGGCGCAGTTCTGCTTACGCAAACTCTTTTGGCCACCCACCGTGATCCGCGCTTGTTGATTCTGGGTTCATCACAGTAAAGAAACAGCGACATCTCGTGGTAGAATAAGGAATAATCAGATCAGAGTAGCTCATCGCTTTATATTTGCTCTCGCTAAAAAATCATAAAATGTGACAGAATGTATTAATGTGAAATAATTTTCAGTGCATCTTACGGGTATTTTACCTGTTTTTAGGCCTATTGGCTATACATATTGATGTTGTTTAGAGTTGATGGAAATGTCTTGTAAAATAAAGGAATATGCTTCTGTTCTATTAAAAGTGTTTTGATTAATTAAGCAGCTAGCTTGTAGCCCATGAGAAATTTATTTGTGGAATGCATTTAATTTTATCAGCTTCCAAATCACTGTCTGCTTTATAAGGTTTTATTACTCAGGAAACATCATAACTATTTAACATTATATGAACCAAGATCTATCTTCATTCATGTTTTAAAATCAGCTTTTAATCTAACTCTTCTTTTCAGTGCCACCAGATAGGTCAGGTCACTGTATGTAACACATAGTAGCAGATGCACAAAATGTTGACATCCAACATAAATTATTAAACGAATATTAAAATGTACTAAAAATGTATTAAAATGTGTCTTTAAATGTTTTAGAAATGTCAGATAGTATTTGCAATATTTTGTCACAATATAAAAGTTTTTTTATATAGTTTTAAACAACACTTTTTGTTAATTTATTTTTACATACAATTTCCTTCATATAATAGAATATAAATATAATATTTTCAAGTTTCACATTTATTAAAATTCATCCCGTTTGTTTTAGTGCAGAAGAGAAGTAAGGAAAATATTTAAGCTGGGAAGAGTCATTAGTCTTTATGTGAAAGCTAAAAGCACACATGCATGAAAAATAAATAAAATGGGCCTAGAATTATATAGGTAGGGCTTGGTTATTATTTATTAATATTAATAATCTAACATATTCAAATGCTCTATAAGTGTTCTCTCTTCCTGTGTGTCCGTCGTACTCGCCACTGTCCTTGGTGCTGAAGTCATGGATAAACAAGGATGAGATCATCTTCACAGGTCTCACTGAAATAGCAGGATTAAGACTTTTAGTAAATGTTTCATAACTGATTCCTTTCGCAGCGTCCACGTTTGTTGAGTTCAACAGGACTAAGATAAAAGGCACGTTGTTTCACGACTTATCCCAATTAAAGTTCAAACCATGTCTGCTTACGGTAATTTTACGTTCTTATTTTAAAGACTTAAAAAAAGCTCAAATCGCCTTTTATATTACTGTGACGATGATGTTTTCGAAATCTTTCTTAAACCCGTTTACGAAAGCCCATAAACCCAATTATGTATGAATACATTAGAATAGTCTCAGGGATAGTCTACTTAGGTAAATAGGCCCACATTAAAGGTTTTATTTATTTATAATCATAGTCTTTTGGGTCGACAAGCTGGCTCAGTGGTCACTGTCGCCTCAAACCAAGAAGGTCGCTGGTTCGAGTCTCGGCTGGGTCAGTTTGCGTTTCTGTGTGGAGTTTACCTGTTCTCCCTGTGTTCACCTGCTCTGTGCTCCGGTTTCCCCAGACAGGCAATATAGGTGAATTGAATAAGCTAAATTGGCCGTAGTGTAGCCTATGTGTGTGTAAAAGAGTGTGCATGGGTGTTTCCCAGTACAGGGTTGCAGCTGGAATGTCATTCACTGTGTTAAGCATATGCTGAGTAAGTTGGCGGTTCATTCCGCTGTGGTGGACCCTGATAAATAAAGGCACTAAAGTCGAATGAAATGAATGAATTTGATGACTTTTTTATCCAGAATGTTCGTTTTTTTTTTTTTTTTTGTTATGTTCTTTGAGATATTGTAGCACCCCATCACATGACATCCTGTGCAGAATGGTGGCAGCGCATCTCTCCATACAGACTTTTATTTAGCACACACAGGTGTTGTGGGTTGTTTCCCATTTGCGTGGAATAAGAATAGTTCTGATTTTCCAACAGTGTTTGGTTTTATTGGTGTCACGTAGACACAATGGATTTTTCTGACTGACCCACTGATGATGAGTCACACAGACAGCCTGCTTTAGGGCACTTTGAAAAAAAGGAAGTGAAAATGTGAACTCTAGTCAGCGCTGCGCTTTTTATGCCTGTCCTTAATCTAATACCACCCGGTAACTTCTTAGTAAAAAAAAACGTTTGTGGTAACGATCTGCATATACCTCGTGAAATGTATTTTTACTTACCACAAACTATTGGTTGTTCCCATAAACAACCAATGAAACTGTCACTATAAAAAGCACGCGTTCATCATCCTCTTCAGTCTAGCATGTGCATCATATTTTGGAGTGTGAGTAATGAGAAGTAACTCACAAAAGCAACTCAGAGCAGAGGTGTGGACTGGCAGGCAGTGCATGTGTTGTGGTAAACATAGGAAGTACTGTTTCCTCTCCTATATAAGAGATCTGTGCACGATTATAACTGTGCACAAATATTTCCTTTTTATGCGTGGTGGTTAACGAAACTTTAAAATTATGGGCAGATCCGGTATTGGTTGGCAAGGATAATTCATTCATTCATTCATTCATTCATTCATTCATTCATTCATAAATGTAAACCGTACTCTATAATAATAATAATAATAATAATAATAATAATAATAATTATTATTATTATTATTATTATTATTGTTGTTGTTATTATTATTGGCGAAGCAGTGGCGCATTGGGTAGTGCTGTTGCCTCACAGCAAGAAGGTCGCTGGTGTGATCCTCGGCTCAGTTGGAGTTTCTGTGTGGAGTTTGCATGTTCTACCTGCATGCGTTCGCGTGGGTTTCCTCTAGGTGCTCCGTTTTCCCCCACTGTCCAAAGACATGCGGTACAGGTGAATTGGGCAGGCTAAATTGTCCGTGGTGTATGAGTGTGTGTGAATGTTTCCCAGAGATGGGTTGCGGCTGGAAGGGCATCCGCTGCGTAAAAATGTGCTGGATAAGTTGCTGCTGTGGCGACCCCAGATTAAAAGGGACTAAGCCGACAAGAGAATGAATGAATTATTATTATTATTATTATTATTATTATTATTATTATTATTATTATTATTATTATTATTATTATTATTAGCCTATTATTATTATAATTAGTCTATTATTATTATTATTATTATTATTATTATTATTATTATTATTATTATTAGCCTATTATTATTATGATTAGTCTATTATTATTAGCCTATTATTATTATAATTAGTCTATTATTATTATTATTATTATTATTATTATTATTATTATTAGCCTATTATTATTATGATTAGTCTATTATTATTAGTCTATTATTATTAGTCTATTATTATTAATAATATTATTGTTATTAGCCTATTATTATTTTAGTTTTGTTTGTTTGTTTGTTTGATTTTATTAACCTATTATTATTATTAGCCTATCATTATATCATCATTATTATTATTAAAATTAACCTATTATTATTATTATTATTAGCCTATTTATGTTGTTGTTGTTGTTGTTGTTGTTATTGTTATTATTATACTATAGTTTGTAATAAACACTCAAAATATATATATTTTTACTTGTTCAAACTACTTAATTAAAATGACCTGAAACAACACAATTCTTGAGATTTCATTGCGACAACATTTTTTTTATTTTCAATCCACATAAATTTGTTAAAAGTGTTAAGTTAACTTAATTGATTTGTGTTGGGATAACATGGAAGAATTTTGTGGAACCCTGCATGTTTTACATTGTAGTTTTATATTATTTATAAAAATAGCTATTGCTCCTTCAGAACATATTTCAGTGTTGAACATTTTATTAACCGTTTAGGTGTTTAAAGACGTCATTAATCAGGTTTACAAAAGGACGTGATATATGCCATATGGGCGGGGCCACACAGGCGCTAAGCTCATAGAAGTGAAGTAGCCTAACTCATCTGTGAAGTGTGAATGAACAAGCGCACACGGAAGGAAGGCAAATGTTTATAAAATTACTTTAAGAAATGAACACTTATTTTGTGTATTTCATTTCACAGAAATCTGCATATTAAGTGTATAGGCACAATTACTATTTTCAAATAAATAATTAAGAGAATAAGCAATGGCAATGCAACTGTATTATAATTTAACGTATAGTATTGATGACAGCAGTGGATCTAAAATACCGTTCTTATTATTGAAAAATAAATGTGTCATCATTTGTTAACGGTCTTTCATAATATAATCAATATTAGTATTATATTAAACAAAGCACTTGTAAT